TTTTTTTTTTTTCGGGGGGGCCCCCCCCCCCCCCCCCCCCCCTCCCACTAGATCCCCTGGTTACGCCCCTGATGCCTACACTTATTATTACTCAACTTTTGTGTCATTCATCTAGAATATAAAAACAATGAGAACATACACTATACATGAATTTTTTAAGCGATGTCTTTTGTAGGTCAAACAATTTAAAGTAATCTATTGCATACCAGAATTGTTTCTTTGACGAAAACCAGCGCATTATAACATGCATTTTTATACTAGCCTGAGGAGAAATACTTAGATTAGATCTTCTAGAATTATTGAATGATGGTTAACAGAATTTTTTCTTACAATAGTTAATTAAAAAATGATTGTAATTTCGCTCCACAATTTAGTTGTCTTCTCTAGATACAAAAGAAACATTGCGTAAAACTGTCTACATGTACAATTTTAAGTACCTGACAAAATAGAACTTGAAATATCTATCCCTTTAGCTCATATTTTTGTAGGTAATGTTTTGCTAATTAGAAGAAAAAGTTGAGGAAAAAGCATGCATCTACGTAAGCACTTTTTAAGTCGACTAAAAGAAGAAAAAGAAGAAAGGAATATTCAAGGTATGTTTTTGTTACCTTGAGTACGTCCTCGTATTGAAAGAAGTACCTTGTTTGTTTCAATATGTCAATCAAAATACAGAAAACATCTGTTATTTTTCATTCAACAAACAATTGGTATGTGTATATGAATGAATCTCTTGTTCTCTTATATTTCGCCTTTTTTGATAAAAGCAAAAGCATACTATATGTTTTTCATACTATGACTGATCCAGTCATTTGAAAATAATGAGAGAAAACCTTTGACTCGAATCTGCATAGTTTGTTTTTGTTAATCATTAATTTAATTATATTTTTTGATAGAGACAAATAGGTGCGTCGTTTCGCTTTTATCACCTTACTCGCTTTATTACATTTTTGAACTTGAAGAGTAGCTATCAGACATCAATGAGTAAAGAAAAAACATAGAATATTACAGTAATTCATTTTTAAAAGTTTTTCTACTTGCTACTGAACGATAAAAAATAAGAGAAGAAAAAAAGAGATCGAAGAGAAAGGAAAAAACGTAATAATGCTTACTTTTTTAAAAAGTTTTAATTTTTTGTTGAATTTGATTCACTCAGCTATTCATTTTTTCAATGATAATAAAAGTTCTACAATGATCAAACACTACTCCAAAGATAAGGCCAAAAAGTTCGTTCGTGCTAGGAGAGAAAAAAATGAGAATGAGGTCAATATATATTATTTTTTGTTGTTCTTTTTTCCCCCAAGTTTTTTTCTTTTTCTTTGGATTCTCTAATACGTGCCTTCCAGCTTGCCTACATTCGTTTCTGTCTATTTCTCTCTCTCTCCCTCTCTGTGGGTCTCTCTTCTTCCTTAGCATACACGCTTCTACACATGCGCTAACAGCAGCATTGCGATATTTTCGGAATTATAGCAAAGAGAGAAAACGACGATGATGATGATGATGATGATGATGAAAAAGTTGGCAGAACAGACAATAATGCGTGACTGAGCAGAAAAATAAAAGAGTAAAGAGCAACGGAGGTGCATAAGCATAAGCATTCTGAAGATTTTTCAAGAACAATAATTGGACTAGAAAGAAAACACAATAAAAAAAAAGAAGCAAGAACAATAACGATGAAGATGCGTAATTATTACAGGATATTCATCGAACCTGGAATAAGTATTTGCTATTGTCTGATGATAATAAGCATCGGTGCATTACTTCTATACGATTAAAATAAACGAGTTCGTCTTTTATTTCTTCCTTTTAATAGATATCTAAATAATAAATAATAGGCATCTTTAAACAATAGCATAAATGAAAAATATCTTGATTTATTTAGAAAAGTCTACCAGAGAAGAAAAACAAGTAATGTTGAACAAAAAAATAGTTTTAGAAAAAAAGGAAAAAAACCAAAGCTACCGACGACTCTCTTTTATTATTTTTTTTTTGCTTCCCTATCTGACTAATTGCAATCATTTTCACCGGATTATTACCCATACAGGAAATATTTACATAAACAATAGCAAGAAGATTTTCTATTAAAACAAAATCCTTATTCCGATCGATCAATAGTATCGAATGGATCACAATGATATTGCACTATATTAGCCATACGATATTCAACAATTGAACGTATTAGCCATTCGCTTCGAAGAAATTTTAAGCCTTTGTCAATACAACGATGAAACATATTCTAAAAAATAAAATTTTTAATTGTATAAAATCAATAAATTTCGTGTCTAAACGAGTAATTTTCCGTTGAATTTCTCTATTCAATAAAACAAAAGTCGACTCGGTGCCAGGAGAAAGAAAAGAAGAACCTTGCTGAAATAATCGGTTTAAAGTACATTATATTTATGACATTCCTTCATATTGGAAAGGAAATCAGGTCAAATGAAGTCTCTCGATCCCAAAGGGCATGATAAATGCATAAGTACATCGCAGCAAACTCAACCAGGTGTTTTCGTTTCCTGTCTTATAAGAAGCACTTTAAAAAGGTACATTTTGCTCATACAGTATACTAAATTATATCCGTTTGCAACTTCAGAAGACGCATGAACAAAGATATCACAGATTTGCTGTTTTCGATCCTCGCTATAATAATAACTGCGTCGCGAAAAACAACCCACGTATACATGACAAGAGAAAACATTAAATTTTGTAATTACTGATTATTTTCGAAGATTAATCATGAGTCTTAATGGTGAGTAAAACAAACAAAAAATTTCTATATCGTCTTGGTTGAGAAGCGTCAATGACGAATACAAGGTCATTGAGTACGCTTGTCTAATAAGATACTTTAATCAGTTTAAAAGATGATCTAATACTGATTAACCCTTTCCTAGAATCTTTCACTTGTTGCTTCTAGCTGTATATTATTAGATTCAAAGCCAATGTACTTAAATCAAATAATTAAGTTCAATTCAATTATATATTAAAATTCCAAAATTATTGATATTAAATAATTTAATAAAAATCTATTTATACTAATTCAGCATTTTTGTTTTGTTTTTTATCGATAACCATTTGGACGTAGAAAAATAATATTATTTTGGAATAATTTAAATTACTTTTCTATTCAGAATAGTATAGAAAAATGTTTTTCTAATGACACTCAACCGGAACTTATTCCCTTGACATTTATTCAAATTAAAATGTAATCCATCAATAGTCATTATTCATAATTACGCATTTTTATTTTCATTCAAAACAGACTGCTAAGTTCTATAATAATAATCAGTACTGAAATGTTCGTCTTACTTTATTTCTAACATCAGTATCTTCAATTAATAAAAAACATTGTCTTGAAAAAACTGTATTTGGAAAACGATTTTGTTCTATATAAATACTGCCAGCTAACCACGCTAAATCACCTAATTCTGAATTTGTAAAATCTAAAAAATGTCTACTATCACCTTTGATCATCACTGAAATACAAAAAAGAGTTCTTAATGAAAATAAATCTTTGAGCGAAAAAAAAAAGAACCACAAATTCTTACTAAAATGATTTAATGGCATTAAGGGTCGTTTCGATAAACGTGATCGACGAGGACCATTATGTTTTGTTGAAAATACACTATCACCTTCGATTTCATATTGTTCTTCATTAACAATTGAATTTTGTTGTAAACATTCAATAATCCAACGATAAGAAAGTACAAAACAATGTTGAACAATAGCGAAAACAACATTTTTTGTTAATGTACATACAAGTGAATCATTAGTATCGATTTCATCAGTAATTAAATGTGTTATTGATTGATTAAACGTTGTTTTCTCATCCAATAATAATAGATGGCAATTAAAAATTAAAACGAATTTTTTCACTTGTTTCTAAATTATTTGCAAAATATTGAATAATCAACAAACGAACAAACAAACAAACCAACCATTTGTTTCTTATTCAGACCACTTGTAGCAAGTACAATAGTTTCGGCTTGAGTTATATCTGATAATATAATATTACTATAAATTTGTTTTTGCTTTTTAGTTTGAGTTTCTAAGGATTGATCAAGAGATTTATCTCGACGCCGTTTACGAGAGCCAACTGTTCGATTTTGTTTTTGAATTATAAAAAGAGATGTTAAGGCAGCTTTTACTTGTTCTTTAGTTAATTCTATCAAATCATTACTACATGATTCAATTTGAGATATATCTAAATAGATTGAATAATTTTTTGCAGAAAGTAATACATAAAGACGACAGTGATAACCTTTCGAGATAGCTACGTATTCAAAATGTTTGTATCTGTCAAGCTCTAGTCATTAAAAACATGTGTAGAGTGCGCTAGTCATCGAATACAGAAAAAAAACATAGTGCAATAGGGAGGAATTATATGATAGTTTCGCAGCGATGATCCTATTCCGACGAGAGAGTATTGAATTATACTTCGAAACTTCTGGTTGAGACAGCCTTGAATGACTTTAGAACTAAATAGGATGTTACATAAACTCTGAAACCTGATGAACGCTTTCTGACAGACACGATAAAGGATATATGACCGAGTGTACTTACAAGAAGGAATTGCGTAAGCAAATTGCAGTTTTAAATAACATAGTATTATGTGACACCAGTAGGAGGAAAATGAAGATTTTTTATTTTTCTCTTAATCAAAACAGATTATTTGACTAATGCAGACAATCAGTTGACTAGAGGAAAACGATGTCAGCAAAATAATAGATAGTTTCATTCTAATATTTACTATATATTTGAGAGAAAACGACGGGTGCCCAACGAATGAGAATTAGGAATTCCTCATCAGTTCCCCTACACTTCTTTACATACTAAAGGTAAAAATATGGAATATTCACGATAGTTTTTGTTCTTACGCTCATTTTCACTTGCAAAATTGTGAGAATTAATAATTTCAAGCAAAAAAATATTTTTAAAACAGCAATATCGCGACTTTCGTGAATGGTGGAACTGTGAAGAGACCGATAGTTGATCCCCATATTCTCTAGGAATTATCACAGCGACACTGGCAATTCGTCAGTACATTAGGAACTCCTATTTCTCAGTCCTTGGACACTGGTGGGGAAAATGCAAAATATTGTTTATTAAATGCGCAGTAGATTGTTCTAAAAATATTTCTTGAAGATCGAAGTCTAACTAAATTCCATGGCGTAAGATAATCGTTGGCGACAATTACTAATGGCTATCTATAACGTTTTCTTTTCATCTCAAATACAACCGTAGCTGTTATTAAAAAATATCACGATAGTCGATTTCGGAAGTCTGATTACTATATTCTCCCATTTACTATATAATTGTTGCACGCGGGCATGTCACGGAAGAGGATGTTGCTGCAAATGAGGATGCAGGTATATCAAGTTAGAAATGTCACTCTCTATTTGCGTGCATGTGAATCTTCGTCAAGGCTGACAACATATACAAAAATGCTATATTTCCGAGCTTATTTATTTTATACTTGACTTAGCTAAATCAAAACATTGATGAATGTCTAGTGGGATTCACGACGGAAAAACACTAACTTTTTCTTATATCAACAATTAAAATCTGTATCTATTCTAGGAGTTTGACTAAAAGAAATGTGTTCTGTACCTGAATTGTTCTTTTGTCGTTTCATATGTTTTTTGATTCGTCGATCATGTTGATATTCGGTCATTTTATCTAACATCTGAAAATATAATCATAGGAATCATTTCATATATATATATATATATATGCATATATATGTAACGCATGCTAACTACAACGATTCTTTTGCATTAACAAATAACAAAAAATTACACGAACAATTTTTATCTGACAAGAAGTAAAACAATAAATTCTATTTCAATTTTAAGGTAATATCTGATAATCTTCAAATGGTTGAATACGATATTGAACAAGTGATTCGAGAAACCTATTTGAAAAAAAGAATATCTAATTATTTAGTTTTCTTCTTTTTTTTCCAAAAGTTTTACCATTCAGGTGAAAGAAAATGAATGCCAATATGAATACATTTTTCATATATTTCTTTTCGTTGAACTAAATATTCTTTTTCACATAGAACAATACGTGTTAAATCAGTTTGTAAACGTGAAAAATATGATTCGATAGTATGTTTAGCTCCGGATAATTTCACTAATTCAATTAATTCATTATTATTCATCAGTTTTTGACAGCCATCACATTTTAACATAATAGAAAACTTTTCAAATAATAAACTTGTTGGTAGATTATGTGCTAAGTTACTTTGACGACTTCGTTGCATGCCTTCAAATGAAAAAATAATCAGTAGAACAAATATTTCATAAGAACAAAATACAACAAACCATTATGATTCGATGACAAGGTTGAATCACCTTGAATTTCAAATATTTTTTCATTAATAATTTTATTCATCGTTAGACAAGTATCGATCCAACGATAAGTTAGAATATACATATGACGAGCAACAGCTTGAATCACTTTTTTTGATAATGGACACACCAGTGTTTCATCTTCTTCGGCAGTTATTAAATGTGTTGTATATTCATCAATAACATTTGATAATTTAATGTTAAATCGAGAACAAAATTTCTTCAAACGTATCTAAAGACAAATATGAGGTCATTTATTTTTCAGCTCCGTAAATATGGAAACAATAGAGCTTTTGCAAAGGTTCAGTATTTCTCTAAGACTTCTGTTATAAGAGCTTTTCTCGGAGCGACAATTAAGTTTAAACGGAGATCACTATTCCGTAATGTAATATTTAAGAGCCTCGGGAACGGCCACGCTAGTTTCATGCCTGTCGAAAAATTCAGCTGAGAGATCTTTCGATATAAGTCGTAAAAAACGCTCAAAAGTCAAACTATATGATTTTGAAACTAATGTTGAATTTCTACAGAATCTTTTAAACAGCTGAAAAAATAATTAACATTTTAGAAGTGTTCTTCTAAAAGCTTTCGCTGTGATAATCGCAATAGGTGAGCAGATTATCATCATTTCAAATTATCAGAAATCTATAAGTCTTGAGCACAAAAAAACTAATAGAAAAAGTGTAATTAGCCAATGTCACGTATTTCTAGGTCGAGAAACGATTATTGCAAACTTTGTTGTGGCTTCCGCTATTTCTTTTTTAGTCTAATCTTACCATTTGATCATCATCCAGGCAAGTACTTGTAATAATGATTTCTGTATTTTGTCTGAAGCCTTCATCATTATCTTCATGTTTAATATCATTAATTAGAAATTCTTGACTAGCATCACGTTTCATACTATTACTTGTTTTCAATACATAGTTCGATGGGCATATAATTCGAACCGTACGATCAGATAATAATTCGTCGTCAGTCATCATAGGTACATCAGTTGATGTCGATGTTGTTTGATTTACTGTTGACGTATTACATTGTATACCGATTGAACGACAACATACACCATTAAATAATGATAATGATCGTTGAACTAAAATTGAATTTATATTTCCTTTGCATATATAACAAAATTTTCTGTTTTTACTCCGGGAAGATATATTGTGATAAGAATCTAAACCATCGTTATTTTCATCTGATGAATCATCAGCACCATTATTCGATGAATTTTGTTGTTTAGTTTGACGTCGTCGAAGAATTGCACGTGCATTATTAAACCATGTTGTTACTTGATCATATGTTATAGATGATTGTTTAGCTAAGTCAATTTTTTCTTGATTACTGGGATAAGGATGATTACGGTTTTCTTGTAACCATTTTTTTAAATAATCTATATTTAACAAAAATTTTCTTTAAAATAAAAAATATTGTATTTTACTTGTGAGAAATTTTTGTCGACAAGCAGAAAGTGCATCGATAAGTGTACGATCAATTTGACCATCGAAATTATCTTCATGCATAATAGAAGAATTTTCTTGATTAATTTGAGTCTCATCATCTGAAAAAGAAATACAATAAGGAGATTTGAAGAGAAAAGAGCTAAAAAATATTGACCTGATGCATGATAACTATTTGATGTATTGTCGTTGATTAAGTCTTGTTGTTCATCATAATCCATAGATTCATCTTTGAGTTTTTTCAAAGTTCGAGATTCTGTGAAAATGTTAGATTGTATTAGGCGAAATAAAAAGATAGCTATGGTATCGACTATCTATATCTGTGCAAGTAGATTGTGGGCTTGTGTTTTTTCAGACTTATGCTGAATATATTCTAGGAAATGAAGCTAAACACCTCTTCTGTCATTTATACCTGATTTTTCGTCCATGGATGATGTTGATATTGATGAAATACTTTTTGATTGAGGTATAACGATGTTCGCCGATTCAATACTATCATTGATCGATCCATTATTTGGTTTTCCATGAAGTTTAATATAATGTTTTCGACATAGTTCATCACGTTGTGCAGCTATTATACAATCAGGTAGTGAACAAATTTTACGCCAAACAACACCATCAAATTTTTTTCGTGAACCATTCTCCATTTCGATAATGTCGCCTTTCTTCGGATTGTTAATGTCAACAGATAGAGGAATAGACGCTATTGAAAGACGATGATTGTTCTTTAATGTAGGCATATGCATGTTAGGAGTCATAGGCACTTGTGATGGGCGACTAGACGATGGAGAATTATAACGGCGACGTTTACGCGACGAAGACAATGCTACAGATAACGTTTTAGAACAGGATTCATGATAATGATCTGGACATAAACTAAAATTAATAATTAAAAAGATTAAACTTTAAATAATTTTCTGTTAGACAAACCCATTTTGATGTTCAGAATTATCTTGAAGAATTACTGTACAATTTGCATCGGCACAAATACGTGGATATTGTTGTCCATCGTATATTTTTCGGATACCATTTACTATTTCTTTCGATTTCTCTTGCTTACATAATACTTGATCTATCGGTGGCACTTTCAATTTAATAAAATTAGTGTCACGTAAATCTTCATTTTGAGTATAAGACGAATTATTTTTTCGGGATTTTATAGAACGACTACGATTATGAAGACGGGGAAACGTATTATTTGTATATGACGTAGTTGTTAATGGCAAAACGTGTTCTGATGGAAAATGAAGATCTTCATTGTCGAAGTTTTGATCCATGGCAATCTTACACAAGGAATTGTGATACTATTAGTGCGTTTTTTTGTGCATATTAATAATGGACGACATTGTTTAACAATTTTTTCACAAAGCAACAATTTCTATTTATCTGGTACGTCCTGTTCATGTCAATTGAAACCAGTTGGGATAAGCTACATAGACTATTATATATGCATATATTCATAAAATAGCCATTCTATTAGGATTACACATAGCCTCTAAATTAGGAAAGAGGGCGTTCACTATCGATGCATTGTATACGCTCGTGTTCGAAGAAAAGAGAAAAAGTAACCATAAAAAAACATTGATTCTACTACAATATGACGATGTAATTGCCGCAAGTATACACATATTAACGTAAGAATAATTTTTGGCATACGCTAGATATATTAAATATCATAAAACTCCTAATGAATCAATGAAGAAAATCTACATGAAAATTAACTAATGGCGAAGAGAACCATACTTGTCGCGACATATCTCGCTATAACAAGAGATTTACTGCTAGGTTATTCTTTCGAGAAGAACTAGATCGAAGTCTAACCTCACATATTTTTACTGCTTTTAGTGTTATTACATAAAATAGTATCATCATGTTATCCATCGTATAGTTACTGTGAATGGATGCAGGATGTATTCGATGCAATGAGTGCTTATACTTTAAAAAATCTCAGCGAAATAATACGTTTGGTTTGTTTCCATATTTTTATTCTGTCAATTATTTTGGTAATATTATATTTGAGACTTTTAAATAAGCAGCATCACAATATTGAAGTGACTTGCATTCAAAACCAACTTTTAACGCATTGGGAAAATACTTGTACTTCGCTATGCTACTTTTTATTGACGTCTTCGTGTCTATTCCTTCTTAATTGTTTGACTTAAGCAGGCGTGTACTACGGGTTGAATACACTGTTTTTAGTTGCTTTCTATAATCAAAATTAATCTATCGATGAAAATTGCAATGAAGCTCAGTATTGATGGTGTTCGAACTAGGCATGCACCGAGACTGAGGAGTAGCTGACTAAAATGTGTTTTTTTCTCTGAAGGGAACTGTCGAGACTACGACAGTTTTATTGAGAACTATTCATCTGGGTCTCAAATAGTTTTCGGTACAACCGAACAGACCCATCCAAATGAAAAAGGTCAAGTCCCGGTTAGTCTCGATCAGAATTCTCATTTTTTAAGTTTTTGACCGAGACTTGGCCTTTTTTCATTTGGATGGGTCTGTTCGGTTGTACCGAAAAATATTTGAGACCCAGATGAATAGTTCCCAATAAAATTCTCGTAGAGTCTTGCGGGTTCTTGTGAGAGAAAAAAACGCATCTTTGCCAGCTACTCCTCAGTCTCGGTACACACCCTCAAGTTCGAACTCAAATCTTGTTGTAGAATTTTCAAGTCGAACTGTTAGCCTCTTATTTAAGATAAATTTTGTCACAGTAATCGGATCGTCAACAAGATTTTTTATTTATCAAATCGTTAAATCTTACCTTGAACGAAAAGCCGCTGCTTATTAAACAATAAACTTGTGTCTTCAATTGCTATTTGTTCTTTGGTATTGGAGCAATCTGAAATGATGATCATCGACAGAATAACAGCCGATGAAAACATGACGAATGAAATCACTCGTTTTAAGTGTACGATGAATGAAATAAACAGTACAACTTCTTTCTGCCTTTTTTTTCTTTTCTTTCTTTATTGGGTTATCTCGTTAAAACGAGAAAGCACAAAAAAAAACGCATCAGGTGAATATTACGCTACGTGTAATATTCACATTTTGATAATAAAAAGTATCTTCGACACACAGAGAAAGAAGATTGTAACTTGAGTTGATACAAAAATTGGTATTCACTATAGCTATATGTGTCTTTTTATCTTTAACGCTATCAATGTAATTTCGGCTAAATTCCATGGTTATTTTTAAAAAACATAAACCCTTGTAGATAAATGTCGTCTAATAATATTTTACTATCAAATGAACTTATTCATATGATTTTATTACATTGCCAAACAGCGAAAGATTATCTATCACAATCACTAGTCAATCATCAGTGGTCATATGAAGCTCGTCGCTTAAAATCACTTATGAAAGTACGTTTTTCACGTACGATAACATTTCTCAATTGGCGATTTCTGTTTTGCGACTTTGATATTCGTGTTAATGTTGTTGGTTATGATGAATATCTGCAACGTCATGGCTTAGAAGAATGTGTACAAAATTATCATCGCGTTGGAGGACCAGGCTCAAATGTTTATTACTTAGAACGATACTGGCAAGATGGTAGATTACATGGATTGGAGATCATTCGTGAAATTAATGCGATTTGGTATACTAAATATTATGCAAATCATATAGACACATCTGATGAAACGATTGATCATCCATATGATGGATTGCAAGCAGTAGATTCCATGAGAAAATATCGAAGACATCGATTAGTATCAAAGAATGAAGTATTACCAGAAGAATGTGATTCTCTCGGTAAGATTATATTCAAATACGAATGGAAATCAGTTACATTAGAAGAAAGTAAAGAAATCAGACGAAATTCGATACACGATGACGACTTATCCGATGTTCATAGCTTGTATGATTTTATTGATGGAATTGATTTGTATAAAATGTCTGTGGAAAGATTATCTATATGACGGTAAATGCAAGTTATAATCAATGTTGTTATTAATTTTGAATTCGATTTGATAGCTATTAGCTATGGAAGAATTTGTTTCCGTTCAAAGAAACATTCAAAATTAGAGGATGTATGTGGTGAGGATATGAGAGTAGTGAAGATGTTTATTTTTTTTATAAACTACGGCTTTGATATTTTAACCTGCATCTAAATTCAAGATAATCTTTGAAATAAATTACAGTTTCATGAAAGATTTTTCACTTTTTCACTAGCGAGTCTGCACTGATAAGGTTTTCTTAGTTTTAGATGCGTTTTCGGAAATATCAAAATCGTTTACAAATGAGTACATTTTCATCTTCTGTACTTGGAATCTATGCATTTATCAATGTGAGAAATATCTATACAATGACTTCGATAGTTTCGAATATTTTCCAATCATTCTCATATCAAAGATGCGAAAATCAAAAGTATCAACAGATATCAAAATAGCGTTTTCAAATAACACGTGTTCATTTTTCACAATTATTGAAAGTCCCAAGTCTCATGTTGTAACCATACATGTGTTTTCACTTAAAGCGAATACAATGAATATATTATATACAAATAGTGTATAGTACCCGACGGGCTCTAGTCCACAGTGAACCCCTAATCTGCCGTTAGCTAGTTGTATAATATTAACAATTAAAGCTTACCTGTTATGACGACCAAAATATTGTTTTGAAAATCTCATTCCAATGTAATCTATATTCGGAAAGGCTATTTTTATTAGACGTTACACAATACAAACTTTACATCAACGATGGCAATCAAACTGTTATCTGCGGCAACTAAACTGATCCACACAACATCACTCATGATACTAGTTATTGGATCTACATTTTTCAGCAAAACGAACAAATCTAACATAATCTTTATGATGAATATTAATTTGAAAACAGCTCATTTTTATTTTTATTTTTATTTTTATTTTTATTTGAATTAACATGAAAATTACAGATGTCCTGTGACATTCTACGTGATGTTTCAGCGCTTCCGAAATCCATCTGCAACACTAAAAATACGATTTCATATTTTGTATATTACGCTCCAGCAGTTTGCCTGCATAATCAAGCATTTCCCCTACGATTTCATTTTCTTAGAGGTCAAGTTTGGTGAACGTCTGTTATAAAAAGTGGATATAGTTAAATGGAATAGATGATCAGAGAATCAGGGTCAGTGTTGCGTTGTAATGCGTCAACGAAATTTTGAACTCCTTTATCTCCTATTTCATTGTGATGAAGATCTAGTGTGATGAGTGTCTATGGTTGAAAATGAATGTGATTACATGGAGTGGATGATTATGGAATGAGGGCCAGCGGTATTTCTTTTTTTCCTCGTATGATGAATGATGAAAATTCTGTTTTCGCTTTGTTTTTCGCAACAGAACATTAGTGTGAACGGTTGCGGTGAATTTTATTTATCTGACCGGCCTCTGACTCTGATACTAGTAGCTTAACTACAATAGAACAAAGGAACCAATTTTTACTGCGTAAAAAATGCAGAGGACAAATGCTGCTGACGAGGGAACGTATCCAACTGATAAATCGTTTTTCGGATAGGACTTCATGCATGTGGGAGACCTTATTGAGGTATGAAAAAAATCCCAAAAGGACAAATGTCCATAGATCTTCTGCTCCGAGTTATAGGCGTTTTACTGAAATTTTAGACTTTATCATGGTATAAACCAAAAAATTGAATGATGGTATATCCACCTTAGATAGGTCGATTTATGAGTAGGATGTTCTGAAAATATCAGCTAAAAAGAATCTTTCCTTCTCGAGATATTAAACTCTCAAAAAACAAGAAAGCTCTGGAATCCTTCGTGAGATATCAGCGGTTTTTGAGAGTTTAATATCTCAAGAAAGAAAGATTATTTTTAGCTGAAATTTTCAGGACAATTCTACTCATAAATAGATCTGTACATGGGCGAAATGTCAAGTCGAAATACCATCATTCAATTTTTTGGTATATACTGTGGTAGATGCTAAAATTCCAGTAAAATACCTATAATTCGTGACAGAACACCTATAGACATTTGTCCTTTTTGGCCATTTCATACCTCAATAGGGTCTACCACTACCACCTGTATGAAGTTCAATCCGAAAAACGATTTATCAGTTGGATATGTTCCCTCGTCAAATACTGTTCTTCCCAAAACTCATTTCTAAAAACTAGATTTTTCGCCAAAAATCATTTTACGTTAAGAGGACCCCTTAAGAAATACGTGCAGAATTAATTGATTTAAAGCTAGTTTAAATGCATATCGTACTTTGTCGGGAAGTAGTCACTCCAGAAAATGACGGATTATAATAATTCTTAACATATTCGTAAAATAGCCTACCATTCAAACAAAAAATTGTTAGTGCACCATGGAAAGTAACTTTTCACGCTCTGCACTAAATCCTTCACTATATTTGAATAAAAATATTCACAACATTTAGAAGCCCATCTTCGAAAAAACGCAAAACCTTAGCAATAGAATAACTTTCGGCCCGTCTGAAATGCATTCTAGTTGAATGGTAAATGAACAAAATATTATTTGAAAATCTACCAATCATTGGTTATGTGTTGGAAGGATAGATTATAACATCTCTAGAACCCGATTGGGAATTAGAATTACAGTATTTTATTCTCTTCCGAAACAGCCACTAACTTCACACAATAACTAAAGTATTCAATTACAAAGACTTATACATCTTTTTACAAAACCAAATTCGCATCACTCAAAAATTTGGCTAGGATAGCTCAGTCCCCTCCCCCTGGCTTCGCCACTGCATAGGTGCCGAAGCGGTTTTTGATTTACTTGGTCGAACCTCTACTATTGATAATGCACCTACTCAAGGACAAGAATTGGTAGGAAAACATGAAAAATAACTATTTTCGTTCAATCAGATGCATACACCATGAATAAAATATGATTCTTATTGGCTAATTTTCGTGGTGAGATAAAATTGAATCAAGTTCAATTTATCTATCCTACTCGGCCAACATCGGTGATTCTTAAAAGATTTCAATTGACGATCAAGCCAACCAAGTGAGAGTTATACCACAATTGAATCAAACTTTTTTGTTTTTCTTATAAAACTTCTATATGATTCTAAGGTCAATGTGTAACTCTTGTAGGCATGTTTCAAGTAAATGTTTCGTTTAAATGTTAATGGTTCGATCGATCCTATAGATTCCAGTACTTTTGGATCTTAAATGAAAGAAGAACACGTCTTAACCAGATAACCTGGAAAATGTTTTGTTAGTAGGATTAACAGAGTTTTAGTTATGCACACATTAAATTTTGCGTTTTTTTCTGAAATGAACCTCTTCAGCAACAAGTATTTATATACGTATTATATTTATTGTGTGATTTAATTTTCGTATTATTTGTTTCAACGCATGCATTCTATAAGTAAAACGATGAATTGATATCATTATAAAGTGCGCTGAAATAAAATAATGCTCTATACGATTTCATAAGGAAACATTTAGGTTTGTAAAATTTATTCAAAATTACGATCAAGACTATGCTTACTATAGTAGGCCACCTTTCCCTGCTCTGGGAGACTGAACGGGGCAGGGCAGGATACAAAAAATCACCCTGTGGATACCTCTGCTCCACGCCCACACACTAAATACAAAAAAGAACTATTCTTTGTTCTCTAGCGTTTGTGTCGTTTGCTTGCTCATTTTGACACATTTCATTTGACCGCCTGAGCTCAATGGATGATAGTCGTACTGTGTTACCCAATAGCCATGACGGATGTAAAATGTCTTAGCATTAAGACTAGCTTCTAATTTTAATATATTTACACCTTGAGCCAAAGCTAATTCTTCGAGATGCAGCAAAATTTTGCTGCCAACACCTTGATGCTCGTACGTTGGGTCAACATAAAGTGCGCGAATCTCGTGATCAGAAATGATAATTGCTCCGAATCCTATGATTAACTTGTTGTCTAATTCAGCAACAACAACGACTTCTTTGTCACTCTCTATGATACTTCGAAATCGATTGATACGAAACTCATCACTCGGTGATGGTGCCCAACTGTTTAAAATGTCTTCTGTGTAGAAGTTTGCAGGTCTTAATCCGTGAGCGGCATTGTAGTGAACACGTACAATTGCTTCTGCGTCAGAAACAGTAGCTAAACGAATCTGCATGTTGAAAATTGAGACCATAAGTGTGTTATTTACTTGTGGTAAACATGCTGACTATTGTATGACGTCTCATATTGATAAGAACGTACTTTCTTTTTTGTTGAGTCACACTCGCAATTGATTGTATCTTGCTGTTCTAAACGTTTGAAAATGTAATTATGTATAATCAATACAATTTTTCACTCTTTATTTTTATCTTCTGAGAGCTTTTTTAAAGTCATGGTATTAAGTTGAAAAGGATTGTAGCAGATCGAAAATCCCCTTATTATATTAAAATAAAAGTTCTGGTTAAAAACTCTACATTTATTTCAAACATTAAATTACTTAGGTGAATGAATCCGGTAGTGGATCCTATCGGATCTTATGGGACCCGATAAGTCGACAAAATCCGATCAAATTCCTGGCCACGAACCTACTAACGGATCCGACGGAAAAAAAACATTTTCTTAATCACCAATGAATAAGTATACGGTGCCGACAGAACACAGGGGTCAAATGGTTATGTTGGATTCCGTTAAATTCTGACACTGGAACCTGTCGGACTCCAACACTAGCGTTCCAATTGTAGATCCTACACCCGGATATCGATAGGATTTCGTCGGTTTAATGAAATCTATACTATATAGTGATACCCAATAAGATTCCGACACGAATCCGATAGAATCCCACTATCGGAATCATTCTCCTGGGTAATAAATTTATTTACATATGTATTAAAAAATAATAGTTAATCTCACATACTCTTATTCATTCAAAATATATTGATGTAGGAATAATATCGATAAATGATTTCTCGTAAGTGGTTCATTAAATACGTATATGAGCATTGTTAATTCCTAGTTAACCCTTCGTGGCAGTTGTGGGGTCCGAGTGGACCCACTTTACAGTTTTTTATGTAAAACTACGTTAGCATTTGTTGTTTCGGATAGATATTTGATCTCATCTGTAGTCTCTTGTTATTGTATAATATCTTTACTAAGAAATTGTAAACAGCTCTAAGAGGAAAGGGACGTAGGGATGGGTCCAATTGGACCCCGCAACAACAATGGTGTTATGCACAGCATTTTTGGCCTTGCTGAAGGTGCCATCTGTTGTCCCCATTGATTTTCCATATAAATTCATCTTAATTCGTTTGTACGTTCATTACCAATAATAATGATTCGTTTTTTCTTTTTTCAGTGTTAAATTTGTAACACGTTTCTGAGAAAAACCACACTTCGATCGAATTTATCTTTTACACATTCGATTCTGGATTTTCTTTGTAAAATGTAAGAGAAATCAACAAATATACATTTCCATATATACTTTCTATTTTTGTAGCATGGACACAATTCATAAATCAAATTCAAAACGAACTGGGAACATTTTATTGGCAAAAAATAAGGAAATTTATGATATCGGTGATGATGCAGATTCTGATTTGAATAGTGAATATGATCTTATTGTTACTGAATCTGATGATACATCCACTAATGAGCATATATCAGAAGAATCTGATTCATCAAATTCAGATATTGATCAAAGTGACATTCCCATAGATATTCAACCAGAAACATTACAGAAAGTCGGTGTTACATGGTCTAAACATTCAGTTCTAGTAAAAGATCGAATATCTGCAGCTAATATAATGAAACAGAAACCAGGTGCTATTACTACAGTTCAGAGCAATCTAGATGCTTTTAAACTTTTGTTTTTACGAATGAGATCCTTGATGAAATTATTCTTCATACAAATCACTACGCTGAACGATATTTTTATCAAACTCAAAGATTACGACAAGGTTCTAATACTATGAAATTCAATTCACTTCAATGGAAACCATTAGATCGTATTGAATTAGAATCTTTTATTGGTTTACTAAATGATACTTTAATGCTGTTATGAACACAGTTGAAGTTAACATTTTTTCGACATAGTATACTCTCATATTGTTGCGATGGAAACTAGCATGTCAGTCTCTATAAGAAGGGCATTTAGAAGTTTATAGTACATAAATGAATAGCTTGGATAAAACAACACTATCAGTTTTTTGTCATTTTCTATGGGTGGGTCCAGGTGGACCCCACAACAGCAACGAAGTTTCAAAGTGAGAACGGCGACGAAGGGTTAATACAGGTTAACGTTTCTTCAAAATATACGAATGAAAATGTTTTTTGCATTACTTCTACAGTAGAAGAAAGCGATGATTTCTTACTTTTGTTGAGACATTGTCATGTTATTGGTTGGCTGTGCAAAGTAGATGATTTACTTAATATAAATTAAAACATATATATTTATCTTTATTTTCCATTACACTAAAAACAATGTGTTACAATCGTGGACGAAAAAAAACAACTTTAAAAAAAATATTTCATTCAAAGCATTACATTATAATATTATCCGAATTTGGAAAAAAAATCACTTTCATACATTTTTCGTTTATCAATCAAGAAAAAAAAACAGCAGAAAGAAACAAACTTTTAAATAATACTAAAATATACATATAAAAATGAGCTAAATGGAAAACAAAAAGAAACATACGATCACTATAGAAGCCAACAACTATTATCAATAGCAAAGACAAAACTAGTTATTATCATTATAATCTACTCGAGATTGTTGAAACTATGACTTGATTGGTTTCTCATGTGGAAAAATTTCTATTAAAACATTGTGGCTCAAATTTAGTATCATAAGATAAACTGGAAGATGTTGATTTCTATTTTAAAAATAATAATTAATTGAAAAAAACTTTAGTCTTTTCGTACATTATTTTGACATGATGAATAAAACGAATGATCTTCTTGATGTATTATACAGCATAATGGTATAGCTAAATCAGTTTGGACTGACTGATCAGTCGTTAGCGTAGATTTTTGTTTATCAAACTAAAATTTAAGAAAAAAAAGATAAAATTGTACATGCACTCCGTGCAGATATAAAATCTAGACATCATGATAATTGACGTACTAAGGACTTATCAGATGATAAAATATTAAAATTTTTTCTTGTTGATATTTCGATTTCATGACCAGTTGGTTTAGATGTTACTGAAGAAAAATCACCGTTGACTTGTTTGGTCGCCTGAAAGAATAATCAAAACGATAGTAATTCATACAATTTAATCGAATAGAAATAACTGTATTATGATTTTCGCGACCATTAATATTAAACTGTTCAGTAATAGATGAAGAAGATATTTGAAATTCTAAAGACAGAATTCCAATGTAAATTGTTTGTTTCTTTCTTTTTTATCAAACAAAAAAACTCTATTTACCACTATTTGTTTTCAAACGCTTTGCAGTATCATTAGAAAAAATAGATGAACGTAAACCTCGATGATCATTACTATGAAATTTTAATGCTTCCTGTCGTTTTTGTTGTGTTAATTGTAAATGTTTAATACATAGTAAATCATATTTAGCTGTATTACGGCAAAGACTATCATATTTACACAATGGTAGCCATTTACTATTTTTGAATACAAATCGTCGGCCATCGGGCCTATATTGTATTTGACCTTCACGAATGACTTGTTTTTTATTTGAATTTAACAATGCATGTTCATCATTGTCAGTTATATTTGTTGTAGTTATTGTATTATTTTGATCTTCATTTTCAGTGTGGGTATTCTCGAATGAATGTCGTTGTTGCTGATAGGAAGGAACTTGAAACGATGAAATACTACTCGACCATGATGATTGCTTGTCGACTTCATATTCTTCTTTGTAATGTGTTATACAAAGAGACTTTTTATTTGTTTGTTTCCGACATTCTAAAAAACAAATTTTCTTTATGTTTTAGTTATCTAGCGTTTATTGAGTAGTAATTTAAACTCTGTATTCTTCGAAAATGTCTTCAAATTCAGAGACGTGAACTTATAAATGTTATAGATCTTCTCGAATATCAAGGACTAGATTTTGAAAAGGCTCTGAAGAAAGTCATTCAATCGATACAAATCATCTTTCATATTGAAAATATTCAAACCTGGTCTTTTGCATAAGATTTGCCATCGAACTCCATCGAAAATTTTTCGACGCCCTTTACTTGTAACTTCAATTTTTCCTTTTTGAGCTGAAGATAATGATGCTGCTACCCTTGCCGATGTTGATAATGCATTTGACCAGCGATCTTTTTTGTCATTGAATTCCGCTGATTGATCATAGACGAAGTCGTCATTTGTATTATCTTCGCATTTAATATATGGTATTAATAAATCTTTATCATTTACTTCGTCTCGATTTGTTGACATGACAAATTCAATCTTAAATCACAGAACAAGAAAAAATCAAATAAAGTTGTGCTTTTTTCAACGATTTTGTACCAAGAACAAAACAAAGAAACATTTTCAACAGTGTATAGGAATAAACAATACAAATTCACAATCATCATAATTCCTGTCAAATCAAACAAAACAAAAAAAAAGTGTAAAATTATTATCTGATTTGTTCCTTTTTGTCGATTTTGAATGTACACAGATTAACTATATCAGGTTATTCATTGTTCAACTATTTATTGATGAAATACTGCCAATGCAATCTTCAATTTTTTCTAAACGATAGCTAATACGTTGACAATCAAATGTAAATTCTCTTTTTTTCATTTCTTCTAGGCGTAAAAAATCTTATAATGTTTAACATGGAGATTCAATTCGTTTTGTATGTGTAGATGAAATACAAATTAACGATTCTGCTTCTTCTTCTTCCTATTGAAATAAATACAGCATGTTTTTACATATTAAATAATCAAGGTCTTATTTTTACCGTTTTCTTTTTTAATTATAGTTCCGAACTGTTCAATAATTGCAGATGTTGATGAATCATAATCAGTAGGAGAGGGAGGTTGAATAGGAATTTCCATAGATGGACAATATACATCAAGTCGGTAGGATTTCGATGATAACACTATATTAAATTCATTTAAAATAGGTTCTTCAATTATGTTTTCTTTCGCACGGATATCAGAAGCCTAAACAGAAAGAAATACAGAAATAACAACATAAAAATGAAATTTACAGATGATTTTATGGCGAGATTTGAAGTGATTGATTTACTCGAATCTGAAAACAATAGAAAATTTTTTTTTTATAGGTGTCATGCTGATAATCATGATTATTTTTTCTACAAAAAGAAAAAAAATTTTAATTATCGAAAATTCAGTTATATGTGTTAGTAACTAAAAAAAAATTTTCCTATTCTATTATCTATGAGAGCTGCATTTAGCTTATAAGAGATATTTGTGAAGCGCTTACCTGTTTGTTGTCTTCTAGTAGAATTTCTTTTTGAAACAATATGTGATTTACTATTGGTATCATCGATTGTTTTTCGTTTTTTACTATTTTCTATTGAATCAGTACTATCTGTCAATAGTGATGCCATTTGAGTTGATTTATTTTGATAGGTTTCTTTGATAGGTATACTATGTCGTTGTTGATTCAAACGTATAAAAGAACAATTTTTGTTATCCGCGCATAAATGTTTCCACATAAACTCATTACATCGCGCTGGAGGTCCAGTACGTGTTTGCAATTCACATGCTCTAGATGGTGACACAACTACTGTATCAAATCTATTATCATCAATACGAGGACGTTTACTATTTCGTAGTTGACTTAAATTATTATCTTCTACTGACTGTGATAACATATATTTTAATTCAGTATGTTCCTGTTGTTCGTTTTCTAAAAGCCACAAATCATAGCAATACAAAAGTATTCTATCTACTCATCACATAGTTACCTGCTTGGTTCGGCGGTGTTTGATCTGAAACAGAATAATTTTGTTCAATAGAAGTCTAAGAAAAATGAACATATTTCTACTTGTATTCAGTAGTGATATGCGTTGTGTTCGATGTTCTTTGCAAAACCTCTTTGCTCGTATTAAACAGTTATCTTCCTGACAAAGTTGATGCCATCGTTTACTTCGCTATAACCGGCGAGTTCCATTAGGTGATATTTCTATATCACCTGTGCTAGGTACTTGTATTTCCTTTGTTAGTGTTGGTACATCTAATGACATATCATTTGAAACATTTCGATGATTTCGACAAGTAAATCTTGCTTGAATCCGACAATTTGAATCACCAGAGCATAAATATGATCAAGTGTTTCCTGTGAATACTTGACGTTTTGTTCCATTGGACATTCAACGAATATCACCAATTTTAGACGTTTTATATTTTTCCCTGAAACGTCGACGAGTTCTTAATAATGGATTCATATTGATCTATAAACAATTATTAGATCTAATTAATTTTTAAATTTACTAATTAAATATTTATTGAATAGATTTTATGTGAGTAATAAATATTGACATGGAAATATGATTTTGATCGAGGCTTATGTTTTGTAAATGGAAAGATTCTGAATAAAGCTAAAAAAACAATAAACAAGTAAAACAGCTGGAGATATCAATCAATGACATATGAGTTAAAATTCTAGATGTCGCTTTGTTTCAAAAGGAAAGTAAAACTACCAGGTAAGAATAATATAAAATTTGAATATGAAAATAAATATTATGAATTGAGGTACTTATCGATATAAGAAAAGACATTGTTATTGATTTTAAATCAATATTTTCTATCCGAATAAGAAACAAAACGTAGCAATTCTTCGTTTCTTTCAAATGAAATGAAAAGAATTCTTTTTCTTGTATTAATTACTTATATAAGTGTGTCGCTTACAAGGCCTTTCTTAAAGTCGAAGAATTGAGAAAATTGCAAAAAAATATCACATGCTTCAAACGATGAAATCCTGTAAGACAATGATGCTATAGTTATAGGTGTTAATTATGAAATATTTTATATTTCGCTTAATTTAGTGTAAAATAAGTCGCGAAAATTAAAGCCTTTGTTAATATAAACTTCGCTATTCTATCATAAGAACAAATGTCACATTTCTGTAATGAAAAAAACAATATAGTTCAAAGAGAAATATTTCATTTAGATTTGAACTACCCAGGTTGATCAAAACGGACTCGTTTACGGTCTGTTTATCGACGGTAAACAATGTCAAAACGGTATATTTACGGCAGTAAATAGGCCGTATTCGCCCGTAATACCTGGCGCAGTAATACGGCACCGTAAACGGGACTGAATTTTCATGGCTTACGGCTGTTTGTGCTCCGTACTCTCTGTAACGATAAATAATAAGGACCCTGTTTCGGGGTTGATATATTAAGACAAACTGGATAGAGGTGAAGTAGCTTACAGCCACTCACGGCAATGATGTTTATTCGTGTATTCACATATCCAGAGTGTAACAAGTTCATACATAACACACGTATATATAGGAGAGAGATAGAAGAGAGGCAGAAGAGAGATATATTATAAGAATGGAAAGAGAACAGAAGGAAGAGGAAGGAGAATCATCGAAGCGTGCCATCAATAATCGTCACAGTAAGTAACAAGTAATTTTACTTGTACTTGCTGTACCTGTACTTGTCCAGTCTCTGCTGAGTTAATGTAAATGTACCAATGAAATGTAACATCATTCTGCTGATAAAAATAAGAGTTGTGGCGCATCGTAGAAGTACGTTTTTTTTCATTGCAATACATTTGGGCCATTCCATCAGAAGCCGCCAGGTTCATCCAGTGACCACGCTCAAATTTTTTGAAACTTTCAGGGTTTGTAGAGAATTTTTCGTTGATCATCTTGATAATAAGCTTTTCCAAAATAAACTCTTTTTTCGCGAAAATACAGGTCAAGTACAAAAAATGCAATTTTTCAAAACAAAATCAAAGAAAAACTTGCATTCTTTTCGAAATAGCGATGAAAGTCCCCATTTTTTACTCGAATTTTAAAACCAAGCACATATTCAGATTCCTCGTGAAAAACTGCGTCAGAATTCATAGAAATTAGAAAACTTTGAAGAATTTTATCAGGCCCACTAAGGCCACGATAAGTCACCAGAAAAATGCATTGTTTGAAAAATTTACTCAAGAAGTTGCGATGAACCAGAATAGTGGCATTACCAGTTCGATACAGAAAATTTTCCTCTACCAGATGCACTATTTCTTTTAGCCCCCACTTTGAATTTAGGAAGCAACAAGTGACATCAATACTTTAGATTGTAATTTTTCAGAAAAATTTTGATGAATTTATTCATACAATGACTACTCGGTCCAATCACTATTTGCTGCTTTTGGCACTTGTAGAGTTTTTTATGCTGATCATTTTCGTAATAAATTATTCAATGTTCAATTTTATTTTCATTGTGATATGGGTCAAATAATATCAATCACTATTAACTCCTTCTGAAATTATGCATAAACAAACGATACTTCTTTCTCGAAACAAACTGATAGCGTAATACTAATTATTTATGGAAATTCAAAAGCTATTTAAATATGCTGATTGTGCATACAAAACGGTGCCAAAATTTCTGTGAAATTTATAAATTTTCACATATTCTTATGATGTCTGTCTTATTGTATATGATACACAGGGGGAAAAGAAATGATGAAAAAAGATTTCGAATTAAATAGAAAAGTAAATAATCCAAAATAAGAATCTCATTGTTTCGATAGAGCACAATTTTCTCTACAATATTCATTAATCAGTTTTATCAGCACATTTCATTTCAACGTCAATAGTTGTTGAAAACATCATTTAAATGAATGTTTATAGTCTGAATCTGGATAGATACTTATAGTTTGTTTCGTTAAAACTTCTTTGAAAATTGAATTTATTAGCCATAGCTTCGCTTTGAAACGAAAGCTGTCTTGATTGGATTAGGTATCAATCGATAAGTGAATTGTTTTGTCCATAATGGCGTTCATTTATGTTAGTGAAAATTTCCGTTCCGTCAACAAAAAATATTCTTCATAATCATCTATCTTTCTATATTTTTCACCTATATTTTTCTTGCTTTTGAAAATCTCTATTAATTATGCCTCGTAGCACTTATTTATAGATGTTGTCAACAACTATTGACTTTGAAATAAAATATGCCGATAAAACTGATTAATGAATATTGTAGAGCAAATTGTGCTCTATCGAAATATGAATGTTTTGCAATGATTAATGAAAGACTCGATTATTCATTGTTTTTTTCTATTTTGTGTAGTGTGGTAGACGGTGCAGCGAAACTAAAAAAATGAAAGTTCTCTATAAGATTATTGTTGAAGTTCTGATGAGAATTTAAAAGACTTCATCTTGACGTTGACAGTATTAAGCAAATCTTTCAACAATATTTCAATCCCCACCGCATCTTTAACTACCATAGGATAGGACATATTGTAGAAGTTATGAAAGTATTTAAAAATTTCTAGTTCTTGCATTTGGTGACATGACAATTTTTTCAATTTTATAAGATAACATTGTGTACTTAACACATCAACAAATATGCTATTTAAATTTGATACGTTTCAGTATGATCGGAAGATGGTGGCAATGCTCTCATGTATATTGATTTCAATTGTTTTTAACAATACATCTTTTACGGGAAAAACAGGAAAGCACCTTATATGTTCTTGATGTTTGTTTGTTTAATTGTCACCTTGATTGCAATTATCCTAGTAAATATGTGTGCAAAGGTGAAAGACTATATGGATCCAAACCCACACCCACATATACCCATACAAATATACCCTACAATGATTTGAAAGTTTTCTTTAATATTCAAATTGATTATAATTAGAATGTAAAAGCCTTTATTTTTTATTTTTTGCAACTTGCTACATTGTACTACCATTATTCTAGCATTGATTTAATTACATAAATGTTGAGTGAAGAAAAATACAATGAAAACAAAAGGTCTGCACAATATAATAAAAAAAATACTTTTGCAGGAAGTAGGAAAACAACAAGTTGTGTACACAGAAACGCATGAATTTCTCGAACTTAGAAGTTACAGCTATTCGACTAGCAATTTTGGCATTATTTCAGTATGACGAACTGCGATCACTCTGCTTTTGAAGCAGTTTTGATAAGCAGTTTCGTATTGTTTGCATTTAATTCGAAATCATTTATGTTAGGTAATACTTTAATGGTACCTTTGTATCTTACATTTGCATCAATGCTCTGTAGAATATTATTTTGACGCTGTCCGGTTGGCAAGGAAATTTCTACTGGTCGAAAAAGCCTATGAGCTTGAAGTTTTGCTGGTGAACTTTGTATTGTTTCCACTCTATGTCTGAGAAATTCGGTAAATCTTCTCGTTTTGTTGATTAAAGTTTCATTATTCCACTGTCTACTGATTTCACTGGGATGCACAATACTGTGCCCACTTGCTTTAATCGACCGAATAATTCCATCAAGAAAATTAGCTGTGGTTGGTCGATTATCGTGCATCAAAATAAGACCACCTTTTGTTCTACAGATCATTTTAAGGATGTTATTAGTTAAATTATATTCATCAATTTGCATAAGATAATCCTTTGAATCAATAGTCCAATGTGCAGGTATAAGTCCTATTTGATTTAAAATTTGCGAAAGTATTGCTTTGCCGTTGACAGTACCAGGTGCTGTACCGATTCCCCACGGTGCTCGATAGACTGGTTTGAATCCTTTTAGAAGACCAATTTCTATTAGCTGTGTTGAAATGTTATCAACGACTGTTTGTAGACGCATTTCATTAATTTTTTCATGTAACCATCCGTGAAGATAAATATCATGCTGAGCGAATAATTCTTCGATTAATGAGTAATCTTGTAAGAGCAAATAGCCTATGCGTGGCCTTTCATATTGATGAACGCTAAGATTATTACGAGCACTCAGAAAGCTTTGAATTGAGGTGCCCAAAAGAAAAAAACCAGCATTCACTCGATGTAGATTTAAAGTTTTTACGACGAGCGGCGTGTAAGTAGGATGAGGACCATCATCAAATGTAAAAGCTACTTTATATTTTCTGGTACATTTGAAAATGATGGGGGCTCGCTTTGGAGATGATTCAATAATAGCTGTGTTGATGATCTTGGCGGGTGTTGGAGAAGTTTGAAGTGCATCAGATAAATCCAATGATTTAGTATATAAACGGATGTGTAATACAATAACAACACATACAGCTAATTGCATGAGACCAACCAGGGTACGTATATTCATGTTTATGAGCCACATTGATCTTTTATCCGTAGATTTCTGACGATTATTTAATAGAGCATTGATATACGTTTTCATATAAGCAATCGATTAAAAATTTTAATTATTTGAAGTGATTTATAAATGATTGGCACAGCTTCAATACGAGTGTATCCGATGAACAATAATTATTGGGAGTCTAATATAAATAAGTTGATTCCTAAAAACTAATAGACAGAATGAAAGTTTTCTTTTTTTATTCAGCTATTATTACTGTTTTGATAGTTTATTAAATAAGACAAAGATCAGATAAGAATGCGTAGTTGATATGAAGCATACGTTGGTTTAGCAAAGACTTACATAAATCACTTACAATCCTCAAACTGTTTATGTACTGCAGCTCCGTCATATGGTACAACGAAATAGATAAATTTATCGTCGGTAACCGACGTTGTTTCTTTATGAAATCAAATAGATGCAGAACTAATGTTGGGATTCAATACGTCTAATTGGAAGGAAATTAGAGAAATAATTCAATAGTGATATGTGTAACTCATACGGAATATCTCATTTTTGAGATAAACGATTAGGTTAAAATTTCGAAGTATGTGATGCCATACTTAGTGATATTGACTGTACAAGAGTCTCATAATCAGACCAATATTTTGCAACAACAAGATATTTTTAGAAATGGCGAAGTATCTCCTTAATAGAAACAGTAGTTCTAGACTTTTTTTTCTAACGGAAAATATAAAAATGTGATTCGTATGAGATTGAGAGGGCAAACGAAACCAAGTCACTTTAATCACATGTGAAGACTTGTACTTTTTACATGTTCCGATCCGTATCGAAGTGAAATAGAACAATAGATTGTTGTGCATATCCTCGGAAGATGTAGTTGAGTAACATATGATTGAAACATATCTGCAGTCACACCACTTCAATAGCTAATAAGCAACACATTGATCATTATGTGTAGAAAAAAGATTTTCTTAATGCGTTCGTGTACTTAAATTCAAACCCTTTCTCTCTATCGATAACACTCATTGTGATGCTAAATGTAGATTAAATGATGACTTTGAGAAACTTTTATTTATTTTTACTTCTAAGAAGTTAACCCCAAAAAAACTTATATTTAAGAATAATGTATTATGTAGTTAATCATTTATAATATTATGATTCTTGATAGGCTCAATATTTTCATTAGATTTTTTTCAACTAGAAGATAATTTTGAATTATTGATGCACAGTTATAAAAATTAAACTCAAATTGACTGCTGGGAATAGCATTGTCCGACGGTTTTCAGACTCACCAATGGACTATGCTGCTAGATACCTTCCACTGATTCTTCAACATATAAAAGTGTCATTCTTATGAGTTTTAGTCAATGCAGTAAATTTAAGTTCGTCAGCGATCTCTCGATTCATCCTAATTATCGATATGAACACTCTATTTCAGTATGTGCTGTTCATTAAACGATCATTTTCAAAGAATTTCAAGTAATAAGAAGAATTTCGTAAAAAGAAAAAGAAGTTTCACTCGTTCGAATATTTCTATATTCAAACTTGAGTCCTTGTTAGCTAGCTGACATTTATGCAAAATAGACGAAACTGAATTTTCGAATGTTTGAGACTTCAAGTATTACTTCGATTAGGTTTACTTCTGAGCGTCTCACTAACTCAACAAATTTCAGACATGGTGTGCGGGGTGGGTGGGGATGTTGCTGTAGCTCTGAATGAACATCCACACCCAAAAAACTCACTTAGAAAATTATCCTTAGAAAGAATTCTCATTCATCTCATTATGTTGATTAAAAACCGAATAGTTTTTCTCAAACTGGTATCACCTTACTGGGCATCCTATAGGATTAAAAAAAACAGACGACATCTATAATGTCATATGTGCGATTGTAACTGTTCTTCAAATTTGATGCATATCACAGTCACAACATTGATCTAACATTGGTACAATCAAGTATTTACACATTGATTACTGCATGATGTTATGAGTTCTGCATTTCCTTTCAACAAGGTGTGTGTGAACTGGCAGACTTTTCTCTTTCATGATTTTGCTTGTATTTCGTCAAAGATTTCATAACTACGGGCGAATCCTAAGAATTCGCAGCCATGGCAGCATAAATAATTGACTACCTCAGCTAGTTTCATGTAAGTATAATTTGTGCTATTACGACGATTTCGATTGATGAATGAATGAATGAGATGCTGATTCAGAAACCATTAAAAAGGTACAATGCAGGTGATTGTATACAGCAATGAAGAATGTTTCGATGAAAATCGAATTTTCGTGGAACAAAATCGAAATATAATCAATTTTGTCGATTTTATTTGTCTTCACACAAAGAAAGTCTCCCAAATCGACTATAATTTCACTATTGTTGCACTAAAATTCGATTGTAATCGAATGATTTTTCAGTATTGCACAAAAATAATGAAATAGGTCAAATGATTAAAATTAAATTGAAGAAATAAAAGGATTATTTAAGAATCCACAGCACAGGGATTTCTCAGAAGGAAAATATCATGTTGATCAAAAAAAAAGAAAACAAATATTCTATATTGTACGCTAAGGTCGCACTAATCGATGATATACTGTGAAAATCCCAGCTATAGTACACCATAACCTTCAATGAAATCGATGGATTTTTACATAGGATATATTTCGATCCTCCTACGAAATCTATAATAAGAAGTTTACTAAAAACATTGAATTCGATTACAGCAATTATTTTGTCAACTGCTGAGCAAAATAACAACTAAAATACTGGTTCTTTCTTGAAAAAAAAAGAAAATTTGTACAATTTGCAATATTTCGATTCATAAAATTCTGAATAAACGAGCTTCAATCAATGGCTGTCTAATAATGCGTACTCTATACATCACTCATATTGCAGACTTGAGCACACAGAATCCATTAGTGGAGAAGAAAAAGAAAAAAAATTCTACTCGTTCTTTTATACTCTCTCTATTAATTGTTTTGTATTTACTTGAAGGTATGGGATGACCTATAAAACGAAAGCGATGAAGTATATAGAGATCCGTAATTACTATGATTCGGTAGAAATAGTGGCGGCGCCACGGGGGNGCATGTTTTGATTCTTTATTCAGATTAAAAAGCACTCTTAGATAGTATAATAGATTCGAAAGACTTGCACTGTATTATATGAAACTTTCATAGGTTGGGGCTGAGCCCCCTCAGTTCGAAATTACTGACGCCGCCGCTAGGTAGAAAGACGGGTTCATATACCCATAAATGTTGAAGTTTATTTTAAAGAGTTCTATATGGCTTTTTCTTTTCCTTACGATCAAGATCGATACATGATCTACTCTAATTCTATTGATTTATAGTTGTCATATAAACAAGACATGGAATAAAATTCAAATTATCATCTATTCAACGCTAGATGAAAAACTTATATTGAATAAAAAACCTGATAAAAAATCAGTTCAAACCTGATGCTGTATTTTCTAATATGTTTGAATTTTCTTTGCCTTATGCTGGTTTAATACACTATGTGCGGTGAAATGAGTATGTGCATTGTTGAGAATGATGTACCTATTTAATTCCAGTTTAGATTATTATTGTAATTGTTTACTTTTGTATAAGGATGCACTAATTCCAACCAATTCAATTCCAATTCTTGGCTTGGAATTGGTTGGAATTAATTAGAATTGAGATTGGTCTGAAATCGGTATAGAATTGGCTCTAAACGAGTGTAGAATGAACTGAAACTGATGATACAATTGATTATTTTTGACTGGCAAGTGTTTGAATTTACCAAAAATAAAATAACGAAAGTGGGAAGCATAAGGCCTTAAATCTGAAAATTGAGATTTTTATCATAAAAGCTACAATTGGAGCCACAATTAACAAGAGGGAAAAAACGGATCCCATTGGACCCTGAGATCCATCCGGATTCACCAGGATGCAAAAAGTCTGATCGGAAAAGGAGGAATTGGTCGCAGGATGTTCGGGTAAGAAGCATGAGTGAACTGATAAGATTGACATATTAATCAATTCCGATGAATTCTGCTAGGTTCCGATGAATTTTTCGATGCTTAAAAATCAAGTAGGATGCAACATAGGAGTGTACAGCTTACGCTTATGAGCGTGAGCGGTATATTTCTAATTATTATTACTTTTATTATTTATTACGAGTAATAAAGTTTAAAAAATTGAAACTAATAAAAGCAACAACTGATAATTAATAACGTGTAATAATTATTACCGTAATAAACACCGACCCAATGATATTACTTAGAACTTTTTAGTATCTATCCAGGAGGATTCGTATAGTTATTTGCGACCTACCGGGAGATCGTATTAGAAACTTCCAGGATCAGGCCAGAACTGGCCCCTATAGCTATTAGGATCCTACCTATAGGTGATACTCAGAACCTTTTAAGAATCACATAAGAGTAATACTTATAAGTGTTTAGAGCCTGGCCAAGGGTGGTACTTAGAAATTCTAAGGACTTAGTCAGAGGGAGTAGTCAGAAGTTTTAAGACCTATCCATGGATGGTCTCTTTAGTTATTTGGGATCTACTTACAGATGATACATAGAACTTTTAAGAAACTACCAAGGGATGGTCCTGTACCTTTCTGAACCTACTCGAGGATGGTAGCTAGAACTATGTGAAAACTTCCCAGGGCTGATCTGTGCAACATTTTAGTACATATATAGCGGCATCCCTTGTATTTTTTTGCGCAATGTAGGAGGGGATTCTTATAACTTATTCAGTCGTAACTAGGGATGAACCGAGACCAACACTCATCAACACTGAAACCGAGACTAACCGCGAACAAGAAAGAGAGAGAGCGAGACCAAAACCTCGACCACGACGACTGAGATGGAAATGGAAAGTCTCGGTCTGGGCATAACCCTATTTGTAACTATTGACAGTTTCTATAACTTTTTCAATCCCATATAAGCATCGTCCCTTTAACGTGTCACTCTGTCCAGCAGTGATATCTTCAAACTTGAAGTACTATCCTTAGCGGACCCAAAAAATTCATAAA